CGACCTGTACGCTCCCACAGAGTGGGTCTCCTCAGGGTGCCGTCGGCCAGACAGTGCCGGCTGGCGACCCCAAGGGGGAGGGCCTTCTCTGTGGGAGCTCCCACCCTCTGGAATGAACTGCCCCCAGAGATCAGGGTCATCCCTGATCTCCCTTCCTTCCGCCGCGCCCTTAAGACTTGGTTATTCCAGCTTGCAGGACCGGCCTAGGGTAATTTTTAGAGGGGTTTTAATTATATTTTAATTGGACAATGTTCAAATATTTCTTTTAATTAATTTTAAATTTGTAATTGTTATTTATGTATTTTAATTGATTGTCAGCCGCCCTGAGTCCGCGAGGAGAAGGGCGGGATATAAATCCAAATATAATAATAATAATAATAATAATATAATAATATGTTACAATTATCAACTTGAGCACAGGTCAGATTAAGCAGCACAGCACTTACTATATAAACATTACAGAAATTGGAAAAGAAATCTATCACTGCAATTCAGTACATTGAAGAGAATTGAAAATTATGTTTTCCTAAAGTTTATTGTATTTATATGGTTGTTTAGTCACTTTGAAATGATGGCTAAATAAACATCTACAAAAACAAATAATTTTTAAGCCTCTTCAATGTACCAAATTACAGATAGAATTTCCCCAATTTCTATACCATTTTTCAATAACTTAAGACTTTAATCATTTCAGCTAGGTTGTATCATGTATATATTCCCTCTTGTGTTACTGGCATAGCTTCAAGAAATTAAATATTCAAATCCATAAGATAACTATTGCCATCCACATTATTTTGTACAATTTTCATGATCTTTGAGGTTGAAGTAATACAAGTACTTTGATTTGAATTGGATGAACGGATATATGACATAAGAAACTTTCAAACAAAATTTTAAATGTTTAAAAAGTATGATAGATTTACTAAAGAATGTTCTTGAAGGAGACATGTATCAATTTATGAAAATATTTAAATAGACAGTTATTATATAACCAAATGATACTTGAAAACCTATGCATGTTTCATAATTTATGTATCTCATATAAACTTAAACCCCAACCATTAACAGCTGCAACAGTGAGTAAAATAAAAAATAACTTCAGATTTTTTTTAAACAATTGTGTAACTTTATCCCTTCCTGTGCAGTTATGATGCATCCAATTTCAAAAATAATTGATAAATAACCAAATGTGGTTATTTACAGGTGTGAAAATCTGAGTAAATATTATGCTGAAAATGTACTTCAGGGGAAAGGGGGCAAATCTCTAGCAACTAAGATCAAAGAAGAGTCAGAAAAAGTTGCACAATAGATTAAAGAAAACCACCACTATCACTAATTATAATATTTCTAAACACAGTAACAATTTCTCAATGCCAGAATGTTGAGAAAATGCTATTAAGAAAAGCCTGGATGAGAGTTGAGTAATGTATAAAACAGCAAGGCATTAACTGTCCTATGAAAAATAGAACTGCACTTTAGTCCTTTTGTAAAAGAGGGCAAAAATAAAAAGTAATGGAAGTTGAAAAAAAATCCCAGCTTCCTGACATTCATATACTATGCCTTTCAATATTGGTAGCCTATACCTTTCCTGGAACCCCTTGAACTATACAACATGTGTGGAGTTTAGCTCAAGTAAGCCAAATAAGCATAATATAATTATGACTGAACCTTTCTAGATTTATGCTGATTAAAGCAGCAGTACTAAGGCTGGGTTCTTTTTCACAATGTATTCTTCCCATCTCACAACACTCTGGTTTCTGTTCAGCTGATACAAATATTTCACCCTATTAATTCTACCTCACAGAAATAGCTATTAACATGGAGGAGGGGCTGTGATACAGGTGTGTAAGCTGTACTTAAAAAAAGCAGAATATTTGGATTGAGAAATTATAGAGTGAAGAGAAAGTTACAAACTCATTAAATGTAGAGCCCTTCCCAACAATTTTAAAGGAAAAAAACCTTCCTATATTTTGAATCCTAGATTTTTTTTTTGTTTCAACACAGAATACAGCTATTGAGTTGTACTATTCAGGAACAAGCAAATGACAAGACATAAATTAACACCAATATTTGTGTGAGGTTTACATTTTGACCACAAGGGAGCATTTACTACTTTCCTTACTTAAAATCCCAGAAATAACCATATACTATATTTCAGAAACATTCTGCATAAAGAGATTTAAGTCAATTATTTAATAAATTTAAGATATGGAAGACTAATAAAAGCTGTCTCCTTCCTCCGTAGCTGTGCAACATACACATTCAATCATGCAGCTTTCATCTTTCAATTGGCTGAAAATGAAAGCACACTAGCCAATCACATTTCTTCCACCAAGAAGCATATTGGAGCAGAGGGTTTTCAATCCTATGAGCTTGGCAACAGGATGCAGCAACGTGGAGAACGAACAAAGGAAAAGCAGAATAAGAAAAAAAAAATCTACTGAACTTCCAAATAATGAACAATTCTCACCTTACAGCTTATTTTCCCCACTTCCTAGCAATTCTAATATTGCCATTTTAAAATCCTCGCCAATTCTTGCTTTCTTTCAAACAAGGATACTCCCTAACGCAGACAAAACAAGCCGAAAAAACATGTCTTGGCTTGCCATATGCCAATGCTTTCAGACATGGCCAATCTGAGAAACAAAATATTCTGTATGATGAGAGCATCATTCTGGGAAAGGTCAGGGCTTCTACCTGTATTTCAAGATTGTCTGAGGGATGACAAGTCAGATTTTCTGAAAACACAAGAATTTCGACGCCTTTTATTTCAAAACCGGCCTTCCCATTTTAAATCACCTACATTATTTGACCTAACTGCAAAGAAGAATATTCTCTTCCCCTTGCAGTCTTTTGAGGAAGAAATGTAAGCAATGGATAATAATCCCATCTCAGCAACTCAGTCTTGAACCCGATGAAGCCTTTCAACTTAATGCTACAAAATCGGAATGACTTTTGGTCTTACAGTTTTTACCGACACAAAATAAAAATACTTTTCCTTCTTAACTGTGATTTATGACACCACGAACATATAGCCAGGCACCGATTAGGGGGAACGCCCACTACTGCAACCATCCACGCCGAAATTAAGGGCATTACTGACACAGCAAGGACTCTTTTCGCTTTTTCCATTCCTTGGCGGAAGAAAGCTGCACCGAGTCTAAAAAGGCGACAGTTTTTCCTTGGAGCAAAGGAGAGGATTTTCATCATACTAAGGATTTTCATCATACTAAAGGATTTTCATCATACTAAGAAAATCGAGGTGGAAACACCCCCCTGAAAAGGACTAAATGTTCCTTACTTGAAATCTATGCATAATGAAATGTTTAGACGCAGAAACATTTTTTTTTTCTTAGCAGAATCCCCTTCCGTTTCCACTGCGCATTTTATGGATCAAAGCAATCCACGTGCGTTACCCGAGCACTGTAGTCTAGCCTACAAAATGCTCCAAACAGCCGCTTTGCCGCTCCTTTTCCTCCCAACTCTGAAGGCTCCTCGCGGCCAGGCGTGCTCCAGAGTCCCTCCCTCGAGATCAATGGTCTTCTATGCACAAGGCTGCAACCTACGGACATTTTCTTTTTACCCCCTCGGAGACAAAAGCCCAACCGCGCTCCCAGCAACGGACTTCGGTGAAGCGCTAAACCGGAGCCTGTGAAAGACGCCATGAAATCGCCTGCTGCCCGCCCTTTTGCATACCTGCAATTGCACAATATAGACGACACCGTTCATATTGAGAACGTCCAGTCTGTAGAGAAGGAAAGGAGGCTTCTGCTTCCAAGACGTGGGGCGCGCCGTGGCACTTCAGAGGAACTACCAGACGGGAGAAGGGGGACAGAAGATCGTGGACGGGGGGGGGGGGGAGGAAAACAAAAAAAAAACAAAAAACGGGAACAGCAGCGGCAAGTAAGAGAAGGGCGCAACTCGTTCCGCCTCCCCTTCGCCGACCGACTCCGCGTGGCAGGGCAGCGGACTTTGGCGCGCACTCACGCGCAGGAACAACCGAAAGGCGGGAAGGACGAGCAAATCCGACGTCAGTCGTGACGAGGCAGCACGCGTTTTTGGTTTTTTTTTTTTTTCCTTCTTCTCCAGAAGGGGAGAGATTGACAAAAGACCGCAACCACCCTTCTCGCGCTCCGGCTACCCGCCTTCTGCGGCTACTCCAGCGAGAGCCGGAGAGGTGCGTAAAAGACGTTGTTGCCGGCGCTCCGCCTCCTCGCAAGGGTACTTTTTTATCTATATTCGGTAACCCTCCGCCACTAGCTAAGATGATAGATTACAGCTCGTGGTGTGACAGAATCAGATTACTCCGCGGGTTGCCGGCTAAATAGACTTTAGCGGCAATAAAAAAAAGAGTTCCGCCTCGCAACAGATCCGGCTGGGAGCTCCTCCTTCATCTCTCTTCCCCCCCCCTCCCTACCACTCCACCCGGCTCGCGGCAAAGTGGGTCAGTAGAAGGGGGGGGGAGGGTACGCGAGCTGCAGAGTGTTATTCTCCTCGGAGAAAAGAGGAAGCCGCCGTTCTTCCTCTTTCCATCCGTTCGAAGGGGGGGAAAAAATGAAGCGATTTTAATCCTGCCGGTTATTTACTTGTGGTATCGAGGGCCACTTGGCATTGCAATCGCCTATTCGGCGTGTTTCCCCGTCGCTCCCAGGCTGAGGATGTGTTTTCGTTGTTGGCTTCCAAATTTGTGCAGCAGCCCGATGCGTCCGCCTTTATATCTGAACTCAATTCTAACTCGAATAAAATCATAAACGTTCGACCAACCCAAATTCGATCTTAAATTCTAACGATTTGCGCTGTCTCGCTTACTTCCAGACGAGGCTGCTTAATTTTTTTTATTTTTTTTATTTTTTTGCTCTGTTGGCTTAAAATTAAGATCCGGTAAAACTCCCTTCCTGTGTAGAAGAAAGGTCGGGTAGATGCCCTTTCTGGCTGGAGTGGCAGCTGCAGTGCGAGGGGCTTCAAAGATCTTTCCTGCGGCTTTGCAGATGCTTCCTTGAACCGGCAATCGGGGAAGAAAGACCGGTTGAACTGGGCAGACTAATTTTGAATAGACATTTGTGGGACCGCAGCCATATTAAGATGATTTGCTCTTGTCTCCTGCACGAGGAACAAAAACTCCTTTAAGACATTCATTGAGTGTTTCGCTTATTACGGGGTTAAAATGGGGCTGACTGATTTGTGACTAAATACGGCTTTTAAATTCAGTTCTTTAGGGTTCAGTGTATGTTGACCAGACTAGGGCCATTGGGTTAATTCATACATCCCGGGGCAATGTGACAATTTAACCTGAGATTTTACTGACTATCCCTCACTTGAGCTGTTTTTCTTCCTTCGCCGTATTTTCCCCAAACTCTTCTGAAATTTCGAAGTGAATCGTTAAATATAAACTAAGCAAGAACAAGAGAAGAAAGAAAACATTTTGAGTTTGCAATTGTAGAGAATGTTACCCGAACAGTTCACTTTTAATGCGGTGTAGTTTTAAATGAGCAATTATTTTCACATACTGTATCTAGCTATGGCACAGTATGATTTGTTGCTAGCATGAGTAAGCCCGGTTGCTATATTTTGAACACCTTAGTATATATTGTTTAATTTGTTGTATGAACTTTTACCAGTCATGGTAATTAAACCATGATTTAATATTCTAAACCAGTGGTTCTCAACCTTTTTAATGCCGCGACCCCAACCGGTCATAAGTCGAGGACTAAACCGGTCGTAAGTCGAGGACTAAACCGGTCGTAAGTCGAGGACTTTCCCTGCCCGGGAGCGCCGCGCATGCGTGGTTCCGCCCCCTGCGCTGGCTGAGGCATAGCTGGCAAGCGGCAGAGACGGAGCAGGCCGACCACCAGCTGGCCCAACCCAAGGGAGATAAGGCACCCGCCGGAAAAGGGGGAAAAATGGCGGACAAAAAAAAATGGCGGACAGCCTTGCTTGGCGACCCCCGTGAAATGGTCGATCGACCCCAAATGGGGTCCCAACCCACAGGTTGAGAACCACTGTTCTAAACCATGAGATAATGGTAGTATTGTAGCTGTATATGTCCTGGTTATTTTGCATTCATCCCCAAAAGGTTTCATCCCCTTTGACTTTCTGAAAGTCCCTGAAGACCTTGTTGTTCCATTAGGCCTGGGGACCCCAGGGGACTGGTGAAATATTGAGGTGGCTCAATTGTTTTTAATATCTGCTCTTCATCCGTGTTTATTTTTCCCTTTTAGCATAATGCTTTTCGTAATTTTAGAGCTTTTAATAACAATATTTTATTTGTTTTTTCTTTTTATGTTTTCCCCACCTTTATGATGTTTATAAAAGATACCAGGTAGCAAATATATCTAACACTCCTTGCTCCTCCTATTTTCCCCACAATAGACAATCCTGTAAGGTGAGTTGGGCTGAGAGACAGAGGACTGGCCCAAAGTTGTTTAGCTTCATTGTATGCCATTTGGAATCATTTGTTTATCCAATGGGCAAGACTACGTGAATAAGATGAATAAGTAAATATGAATATTTGCTTTTAATTGCTTCAATTGAAATGCAGAACCAGCCTTGGTCTTTTAAAGATTTTTATTAATATGGTGTAATTACTTTCTCATCTATGAAGGAAGAAGCATTGATTGGTTAACCCATGTTAATAAAGATAAATTGAATTAAACCCAATTTCAGGTTTATTGGAAGGTTGCTTAGCTGCCACCATTTATTGTGTTTGTACAACTTGTTAAATTACAGCCAAGACTAACTCTAACCCTAACCCTTAACTGACATCTGTACTTGGAGTTGCCATAATTTTTAAATCAAGGTTTAATTTTGTATGTTTAAATTCTGATTCCCACAAATACATTGGGTGAATTGGCACATTGGAACCTCATTAATTAGACTATTTTTTCTGACACAGCGAGTCTTGTAAATAAAGCTAAAATGTTGGAGAAAAGTGCAGATTGGATTTTTTCAAAATCCATAAGTTAGTTCTAATTGGAGTTTTTTTCAAGGTGAGCCTATCTGGGCTGCAAACATTGGGATAGCTATAGGTGACAGCAAAGAGGATTGATTAATTGATGTGGTGCCATCAAGTTGTTTTTGACTTCTATTCTCCACGATGATCCCTAACCTGTTCTTTCAGAACTCCCAGTGGCCCACCATAATTGAGTCCGTTCACCTTGCTGCTAGTTGTCCTTTTCTTTTTCCTTCTATCTTTCCCAGCATTAGATCCTTCTTGAGAAAACTAGGTTTTCACATAATGTGTCCCAAAGTAGAATAATTTGAGCCTAATCATTTGTGCCTCAAATGAGAACTCTTGAGTTAATTTGTTTTATGATCTATCGATTTGTTTTCTTGGATTTCCACAGGATTCCCAGGAGACTTTTACACCACCAAAGTTCAAAGGTGTCAATACTCTTCCTATCTTGTTTCTTTAAAGTCTTTCTTTTACAGTTTTCTTCCATTGAGTGTCACAGGGAATACCGTGGCAGACATTATTCTGATCTTTATAGATACATATCGCAACATTTTAATATCTTTTCTAAGGCCTTCCTGGCTGCTCTACCAGATGCTAGTCTGTGGCATATTTCTTGACTGATTGTTCCTTTTATTGTTGATGGTTGATCGTAAAAGGCAGAAGCTATCCGTCACTTTGATATCTTCTTTCCAAATTCTAAGCTGGTTGTTCTGTTTTTATTAGTTTGGTTGTCTTCGTATTTAATTTTAGTCCCATTTTTTTCATTGTGCTCTTTGACTTCTAGTACTATGGCTTGTAACTCTTTGCCATTAGAGTAGCGTCATCAGCATAGTGCAGGTTTCTTCCTCCAATTTTAAACCATGTGCATCTTCCAATTCAGCTTTCCTTATGTATTATAATAATATATGTTCTGCCAAATATATGTTTCCTATATATTTGGCATACAGATTGAATAAACAATGGGAGTCTTGTTGCATTCCTTTCCCAACCTGGAGTCAGTCTGTTTTGCCATGTTCTGTCTGTACTGTCACTTCCTGACCTTTATTTAAATTTCTCATGAGAGTAATGAGATGTTCAGATAAGATCCCTATTTTTGTGAGCTCTTTCCATAATTTGACATGATTAACACAACTGAATTTCTTTCTATAATTAGAAAGAAATGACTCCTTTTTGGGGTTCTTTGGCTTTCTCAATTATCCAGCTTTAACACCATCTAGTAGTTGTTTGGATTTTTACAGCCCATATATGGCAGCCTTAGTTGTTTTATAATTGGGATTAATATCATTAGGGAGTGATTACCTGACTCTTTTATACATTGGTTCTCATGTGTAATTACAGGCAGCCCTCATTTAATGACCACCAACTCAGCAAATGTTCAAACTTGTGACTGTGCTCAGTGAGTGGTACTTATGACCAGTCCACAGAGTTCTAGCCTTCACAGCATCCCAACATTCATGTGGTTGCCATTTGCAACGTTTGTGGCTTCTAAAAAGCAAAGTCAATGGGAAAACTGGCAGGAGGTCAATAGTATGTTTGTCCTTGCTTGACAGCAACTGGAACTGCAGGAATTGCTGTTACTAAGTTTTGCGGTCATGTGACATTGCACTTTTCCAACCATATTGCTTAGCAATGATCATTCCAGTCCCAATTGCCATTGTAAACCTAGGACAACCTGTAGTGCAAGGTAGATCAATTATATAAAGCTTCTTTTGTCTTTCAGAAACTGAATACAGTAGTGTTTCTCTCCCATACTTTGGCACCTACATTATTATTCCTACAATAACATGATATTTCACAATATTAAGTTTGTGTGTATACATAGACATATACTCTTAAGGTTTTTGTTAACTTATGCTAATACATTTCTTTAATCTGTAGCTGCATTTTAGTTCTT